TATTCGTATTTATATAACAATTGGTTATGACAACACTTTCTGTAACATAATTATAATTTTTACGCTATCCATGACTATACCATACGATTAGACAGAAGACACAAGAATAATTTACACTACTTACTATACATTTAAAAAATGATAAAATTTACTCACTATAAAGCCTCGATTAATAAAATAATTTTATTCTATATGCTAAAAATTACAAATATTTGTAATATATAATATGAACAATATTTGACTTATAATAAATATGCACATAAATACATAATGAGCTTTTAAATTCTATTAAATATTATAATAAAATAATAAAAACTTGTAATATATTATATCGAATATTTTTATTAAATGTATGCGTTCAAATTATCTTAATTTTAGATAATCACTTTTTTTAACTTCGTTTAAAGTGCATTTGCTAATGATACAAAATAAGTTACAGTACAAAATAAGTTTATTGAAAGTATAATTAAATTTTAAGGTAAATGACATAAGAAGTAAATAGAACGACAATATTTAAATAACATTGGTAATCATTATTTGTGTAAAAAAAATTAATTTTTCAAAATATTTTTGGATAAGAAAATTTAACTGTAGAATAATATTTGCCGTTTCGTCTAATAACTTGCATAATAAAAAATTTATTTGTAATACGTACAAAATAAAATCAATATATTATTTTAACAAATTATATTTAATATTAAAATTAATGATACTTAATATTATATTTAACGATACGTGATAAATTATACTTAATTATACTTAATAAATTATACTTAATTTTAACAAATTATTTAATAAGATCTTTATAATGATAAAATAATCAATATTAAAAGTTTATTAACATTTAACAGAAATATTAAGTTTTTAAAATCTTATTTAAGATATTTTTCAATAATAATGAAATGAACAAAAAACTAAAGAGTAGGAAGAATTTTGTGATAAAGATAATAAAATTATCACATCTCTTAGCTAATGTCTAAATATAACTTTGACGGTGAAGAAGTCTGAGAGAGAAAGAGAGATCCAATCATAATGCACTTGTGTACTAAACTCACACAAGAAAAAACCAAGAAACTTGTCTTTAATATATAGAGCTATAGAATTCATTAAAATATAATATTTTGTGATAAAATAGCATATAAACAGATAAAAGAGATTTTTGAAAAATTCAATTTAAATTCATTTAATTCAATATTTCCGAATGAATCGTTTAATATTATGCAATTAAAACAATTATAATGATTAATTTACTCCAAAATTACGTCTATTCGTATAAATAATCTTATTTTCAAATTAATTAAAATACTCTTTAATATATATATAATATATATATATATATAATTAAAATACATTTACATTATTAATATTTCATTACTTGAAAGCGCGTGTGTGTGTGTGTGTGTGTGCGTCTCTCTCTCTCTCTCTCTCTCTCTCTCACATTCAGTTTTTTTAACTCTTTGTAAAAAAAATTGTTTTTGCGGATGGTAAATATTTAAAATAGTTATTATTAAACATTATACATTAAGACTTATTAGCTAATTTGCTATATTCAATAGTTTTTTCATTATGTTATTTAAAATCTTTATATATTTATCTTATTTAAAACTTATATTTGTCTATTTTTTCAATAGCATCATTAATTTTACAACTTTCTACCATTTCATCATTTATAATTAAGTATAGAATTATTACAATCTGTAAATTTTTTATTTAACAACATTAAAAAATTATTGATTTTATAAAATATATAGAATTTCATTTAAAAAAGTAGTATTACGGAAAATATATTATAGTATTCAATATAAGCAATTTAGCAAAGTAGTAATAAAATCATAAAAGTCCTTTCATATGATATCAGTCATTTATCATACCTAACTTCCTCTTGACACTTCCTTATACACGTAATTGGTTATTTAATAAAAAAATCTATTAAATTAATTATTCTTGAGATTTAAGCTGCAATTTATAACATTTGTAAAACGTATAATCACTATAGTAAAATGGATGCTATTTTGTCATTTATGAATTAAATAATTATCGGATGAAAGCATAATTTATTTGATACTACAATTGATAAATGTAGAATATTCATGTTACTTTGAGTACAAGTGTATATGTGTGCATGTATGTACAGATTTAGATTATATAAAATAGAGTTATACTAATTTATTTATAATTTATATCAATATTTTATATAAATATTGTTATTAGTAATTTAAAACTAATATTTAATTAATGTTAAATACTTTCGTTATCAAATAATATATCTTGTAAAATACAAATCAATGAAAATGCGTGATTTTTAATAATAAAAATAGTAGTGTATAAATATTTACATTTTTAAGATTTCTTCCGAGTCTCTGGTTCCATGTATGTACATAAAAAATACAACACGACTTCTATTACCTTAACATTTAATTATGTACGTCTATATACGTGTCATTTACTCTGATAATTTTTAAAAATATATTTTCTAAATTATTACAATTGCATCTGTATTTTCTTTATATTGATGGTATATAATACCTATTAAAAAATTTTAACCTCTTATTTAATAAATCAAGAATTATGAATAACTTTTCGATATCATAGAAATACACAATAGAACAAGAAAATCGACTTTTTACCAAATGGAGAAGATGACTCACTTCATATTTTCTCTCTAATTTTCAATGTATTCTTATTGTGAGATAATAACATGTGTTACATAAAGTCTAAACAATAATAATAAGAAACAGACGAAGAAAGAAAAGAGAAAAAAAATTACACATTCACGCACGCGTATCAATGTATGTGTTATTCATTTACGAGAGTTTAGATGATTATGTCAAACAAGCATTACTCATTCGCGCATGTAAAGTCGATTAGATACTAAATTAATTATTTCATTATTGTTCTTTATAAAATTTTAACCATTAAAAAATTACGAATAAAAGTCGATAATAAAGTCAAATATTATCATTAATGATAAATGAGTTTAAATTAATAACATGTTTGACAACTAATTTTTAAAAATAATAATATTTAAAATAAGGAAAAATTCCACTTTTGATATTGTTAGAATAAATATTGCAAACAAATATATGCTTAGCATTTACTTAAGCCAAACACATTACAACAATTACAAATTATATTTTAATTAAATTTAATCTAATGTACGTATAAATAAACTAGCAATAAATGTAATCAATATCTTTGATTTAATTATTTGAATTAACTGTACTATATTTACTAATATTTTATAGAATCTAAGAAAGATATTTTACGATAATAAGTCATTAAAAATATTATGTATAATTCAATATATATTTTAATAAACAATTTGGACCTTATATTTTATTATGATTTTATTAAGACATAAATTCATAAATGAGAATTTTACACACGCATGCATAAACGTCGTATACGGTACTTACTGTGAAAAGAAAATATTTTATGTTTTTATATTAACGTAATTGTAATTCAATAATTATTATATTTCATGCTCAAACATGACAATCTTTATGTTTTATTGATTTTATTAAATTATTTCTCTTATAATTACAATAACTCTATTAAGTATGAGTGAACCTGATGTCACCGACATAGACAGACAATTGATAATCACATAATCCACATATTGATCTTAGAGATAAGAATAAACTTTGCTACACATATTTCCTAAAATGTAATTTCTGAAAAAAATATATCAAAGTGCAAACGTATTGAAATATAAGATAAAACATAATTGTGTCTTAAGGGAATTTTGTTTGAATTATTGATTTATTATAAAATTCCTACATTATTTATGTTAATTAATTACTAATTTTATTAAAATTGAGTTTATGTATTATATAAATCGTTAAATCATAAAATGTACCGTGAATAATCATGCAATCAATATGAATAATAAAAAAATATAAATTAATTAAATATTTTTAATAAATCTTTTAATTCTATTTCGAAATTTTCATTTCATTATCAAACTCGTTTCTAACTTTTATCATTATCTTTAAATCAGTATAAAATCTACTTTATTAACTAATACATTTTTTTACTGTAAGTCCAAAAATTTTTATAATATAATATTCATAAAATCAGTACAATTTAATTTGTTAATATTGCCAGTATTAACAAAATTTAACGGACAAATTATAATTTTATCCACATGTCATTCAATTTAGTCTATCTTATTTAATCATTGAAATACTCTGAATTACTCTGATTTATAATTCATTTTGCTTTGAAATTCTTAAAATTAATTTTTATTTATACAATATTTTAATTCTTAGCAATAAATGCGTTCATATTAGTTAGTAGATTAATTTTTTTTTTTATTTATTTATAATTATTAGAATCATTATTCTTATGCAGTTAAAGCTCTGCGAATCAGATAATATAGTAAAAAATAATCAATAAATTCATTTTAAATAAATATTTTATCGTTAAAAAATAGTAGAAGGTACAATCTTCCTAAAAACTGTATAATAATAAAGTAAAGTAAACCTAAATAAAATAGATATTAACTACGAAATAATCTGTACAATAAATAATATAACTGTTTCCTAAATAAACGTTTTATAAAATCGAGATATATGCTACGATATTAAAAATCCATTCATTCCTTCTTTTTTTTTTTTTCTTTTTTTTTTTTTTTAATCGTTTTTTATTTAATTTACTATTAACTATAAGATATAATTTATAAATTATATTTTAATATGTAATTCGTATAAGCGATATACCAAGTGATTGTAATTTGTTATACATTGGAAATACATTATATTATATTTATTATTTATTTATTATTGTATAGTTAAGTAAAATCCTTATAATATGATCAGCTGTATCGATAAAATTTATTAATGTGAAATTGGCCTACAACTTTATACCATTAAATCTAATACTGCGTTAAGCAAATATCGTAAGATAATGTAAAAGAAATTTTGAGCTTCTTTATTCATTATTCGCTTCATTATTTAAAATTTATATTTTTCTAACAATGAAAACATTCTCTTCTTTAGATCAACAGTAAATATAGCGAAGAACTAGCACAAGAAAGTTTAGAATGGATAAAAGCTATCACCGGTGAGAATATCAACACGAGTGGTGATATGGACAATTTTTATGAAACCTTGAGGGACGGAACGCTTCTTTGCAGGTACCATACGAATATCTATAATTTTTTAAATATTAAAAACATACAAAACATTGAATCATACGTGAAAATTCTGTTTGACAACTGATATAATAGAATAGAGTAGTACTACCAATACTTGTATATAACATAGATAATTTAATTTATCTAAATATCAATTGGATCTAATTGTATGTAAAATAACGGATATATTACAAATGCAGCACATGTAGTTTAATTATTTTTAAATTGCATTAAGTAAAAATTTTGTTGCTCGAAAGTTGTTTGTTTTTTTTTTACTTATGAGGTAAATAAATTTAATTGTTAAAGGTATTGAATTATAAAGCACATAGCCAAGCATCCGATTATAAGTAAACCGCCCATCACGTAAGGGATAGCGCATAACTGACTATATAATATTTTACAGATTAGTGAACTGCATCAAAGAGAATTCAGTAAAGAAAATTAACCAAAATACTATGGCGTTCAAATGCATGGAGAATATTAACGCTTTTCTAGAGTCGGCGCGAAATCTGGGTGTTCCAGCACAGGAAAGCTTCCAAACCGTTGATCTTTGGGAAAGGCAGAATCTCAATTCCGTTGTTATATGTTTGCAATCACTTGGTAGAAAGGTAAGAATTTATCCGGAAATTCCAAAGAAATATCTATGTTATAAGTGAACGGTCTCTTGAGAAATATTGATAATAAAATTTGCATGAATTTGAATTCACTAATAGTTCGAATTTAAAATTCTTCTAATTGTTCATCAATCTAATTGTTTATATGCTGATCTTATATATATATATATATATATATATATATATATATATTTCCCATATTCAATCTATGTTATTAAATCCCATGTAATAAAGAGATTATAATATGGGTATATTATTGCTATTGTCGTTTTGTCGTTGTCGTTATTGTTGTTGTTGTTGTTGTTGTTATTGTTAGTATTCTTACGTTTCATTATAAGAATTATATAATAAAATACCAATAATGACATTATAATGGAAAAAGTCTATCTGAATTTGAAATCATCAATTAAGAATATTCGTCACACGCTTATTAATTCATTTACATCCAGGCAAAAATCCAACTACATAATATGATTTGTAATTTTAGGCTGGTTTATACGGTAAACCCAGCATCGGTCCTAAAGAAGCTGACAAAAATGTTCGCCATTTCACAGAAGAGCAATTAAAGGCTGGTCAGGGTGTCATTAGTCTACAGTACGGCAGTAATAAAGGCGCAACTCAAAGTGGCATCAATTTCGGCAACACCCGGCACATGTAAAAAAGCTGTTTAAGAAGCATCAGCACATACATATTACATATTATTTATCTGCGCTCACAAAACAATATACACACGCGCTAGCATGCGCATTTCACTCACAGGGCTTCTTTATCGTCGATGATATTATCGTTGTACGTGAGCGAAACTAATGATAGGAAGCAAAATAAAAGGCAACCCTTTGTTAAATTATGTGTTGTTTAAGAAGTATATGTGAATGTGTACACATAGAGAAATACATATACGACATTATTTGATATTTAATATTTTGCTAATATGAAAACAAAATTTTCATTTATTTTCAATAATACGTAAATGTGTATATTACAAAATTATACAAATCCAATTATGTCTATAACACACGCGCGTGTGCGTGTATATCAGAGTAAGGCAGAAATTTCTTTAATATCTTATTTATTTCTTATTAAAACTCATGAGCAATCATATATATATATATATATATATACATACTTTTTACATATGTTTATCTTTAAATTGTAAAGATTAAAATTAAATTAATTTTAATGAATAAATGAATTAAACACAATTCAATTAAAGTCAATTATTTCTTTCGATTAAAAACATTTTAATATTTTTTTTTTTTATTAGCAAACACATCTATCGGTACTTTAAATTAAGTGATATTGATAAAAAGTACACAGTGCATATATTTTTACACGCCCTTTTTATCTACGAAATTTGCAATAAATTATCGATATGAAATTTGATATGAGCAAAACAATTTTTTATAAAAATCATTATAATTCATACTTAAAAATTCATTCCCTTAAATACTGAGAGTTGGTGAAATGAGGAATTTTTAAACACAATATTTGTAATTAATTTTATAAAATAAGTTATAACGAAAATATATTTATTATAAATATTTGAAATTTATTAACTATATTTTTCTAATAGCTATCTTTTGCATTGAATAATTTAAATGTCAATTTAAAATTTTTCTTATTTTATTGTAAAAATCAAATATAATTTGGAGCAACTATGTTATGAGTAATAAAAATTTTTCTTTATTTTGATTTTGAACCAACATCAATCATTTGTGTCATTTGCTTATTAATATTACAAATCTAAGATGGTGTTTAACTAGTAGACTGTTGATAATTTACTTTAATTTAAATTATAAAGACAATATGTAAGCTTAACATGAAACATATGTATCGATAGAATTCAGTTAGATGTTCTAACTGGTAATTAATAACAAAAGCTCTCGTGTATTGTAATAAGCATGTTTTGAAAGACCATATTATATGTGATATTTACAATTATTAAATTGACCATTAATTACTAATGATTATACTATTATATAATTACAAATATATAAAGAATGTTATATGTACTATTTTATACGATTAATTTTTGGTACATGAAATTGAAAGAATTTATACTGTAAAGAATTATTGTAAAGAAATATTTGGAAAGATTATAAGTCATAATAAATGTGACATTAAATGTCATAAAACAAAAAATTCTTATTGTTATTTAAATTTCCTTTATTAAATCAATTCTTTTAACATAGATACAAAATTTCACACGCACGCTCACTTTTATAGACTATATTTCTATTATACAAGACCAATATACACAAAATACAAAATATAATCTTTACTATATAAATACTCATCGTTGAAATGGATAATAGTTCAAACCTGTGTTAAACTTAAACTTGAATCTGTCACTTTTCCTTCTATGTTTATTTCCCAATTCTATCAGTTCTTGAACATCACGCCTACACAAATTTAACAAAATTAAAAATTCGTTTTTCTATTTTAGAATTACTCGTTTCACTATTATTTTTCTCACCTGTAAGGCGGGGGCAGTAATTCATTGTCCAATGTGCATTCAATCTTTTCTTTTTCATTTGTATTATATACTTGCCACTTCAAAATATCAACATCTCTCTTTAAATCCTTATTTAATGTCAATATTATCGCTGGTGGCATATCAAAATGAAAAATGAAGAAGCTAAAAAAAAAATCAATATCTGATTGTAGGTGTATGGTTATAAGGAATAATATATATCATTGTAAATAAAATGTCTATAGAATTTATATATAAAAATCATGTAGTACTGTATTTTCATATATAATTCAAATATTAAAAACGAATTTAACTAATATTTCTGATCATTGTTTTACTCATTTATTACGTTACTTTTTAATTAATCTTACTAATACAAAGTATAATATAGTTTCGATAAAATAACAATTTTCTTTGTTCTAAAATATTATGTAATATTAAGTAATACGCAATATTTCTATATCATCTATTTATCTATCGAGTAGATTTAGATAAAAAATTGTTTAATAAATCTATTGATTGTAGAGCCGCGCGAACCTCAAATAGATTTGGTATTTGCTTTAACAAAAATAATTTTAAACTCTATAAACAAATATTATTCTATATATATATATATAATATAATATAATATTCTATGGAGAAAAAAATATATATATAAAGTTCTTTAAACTTAATATAAAAAAATATAATATTTTTTCGTGATTTATATTAAAGTATTATATTAGTGAATATATTGTAATAGTGTAATAGTATTGTAATAATGAAATTGTATATGGTGAACATAATAATAAGTATATTCTAAAATATTTTAATGTAAAAAAATTCAATGATATCTTTCAAAAAAAAAAATTAAGCCACAGCTATTAAATATAATTAATATCTTCTTTCTTATTATACATTTATTCTTAGTATTACAAAGATTTTCTTCCTTAACATTTTCTTCTACGTTAATTTCAAGAATAAAACGCTTGGAATTAATGGAATCCAACAAATATTAATAGTCCTATTATCACTGATTATCCAATGATATAAATAAAGGAAACATTTTTGTTTTATATATTCTAACTTACTTGGCTTCTTTCTTAAGTTCCTTCATTTTGTATGGTAAGGCCAATTTTCCTAAATTATCAATTTTTCGTATAAGGCCACCTTTATCAAAAATTGAATTTGCAGTTCTTTTTAATATTGTAAATAAATCTTTCTGTAAAATAAATAACAAGAATTCATAGTTTTACACTGAATCAATTACAAAATTTAATCATTATAATAATATCTTTTGAAAATGATTAGAATTAATGTAATTCAATAAAATAACAGATATCTTCATTAATACCTTTGATAATAATTTAATTATAATTGGCATCTCGTAGACTGGCATTGTTAATTTTCAGATGTGCTTGTCGAGCATTAAGATTTATAACGAGAAAGATATATGATTTACTTCCTTTATTGTCAAATAATTTATAGAAACAAAAATATAGACAATACCGAGTACTGGTTAAGTAACCATAACTTCCATCGTGTGTCTTATAAACTCATAAACTCAGAGTTCAGATCTCCATGATCAGTCGCATTGAATTTCGATTATTGAATAATAAGCGCGAAATTTAAATATATTTGTCTAGAAGTTTAAACCCAATGAATAAATAAATTATTATTCTACAGTTTTTCTTAATGGAATTTAAAAGTTGATTGACAATATATATATATATATATATATACAATTTCAAATATAAAAATGAAAATAAATTCAAAGCAGTTTACGAGACTCTGTTAATTGCTTTTAATAGCTTTTACTTAATAAGCTTATTACGGGTGTATTTGAGAAGAAATACACTGAGAGGTCTAATGTGCATATACAAATAATTCATCATTGCATTTCACAGCTCCAAATAGAAATATATGTTTCAAATGGAATTAAAAGAATAATTAATGTTATTAATAATATTATACACTATATACGTATTACTAAAATTATTAAATAAATTTTCTAACAAACATGTGTTATCTTAAATTTAATTACAAATATATGGATAAGCCATTGAAAACAAATTTAGAATACATAAATGATATTTTTCGTACGTTTCATTGTCATAAAGCAATATGTTAACATCGATTACTCTACACTATCGATTAACAATCATTAAATCTACATGTTTATTTATTAAGAAGTTTATAACCAATTATACAAATTAATTATACATATATAAAGACAATTACAATGAACTAAATTTTTGTTTTCTAGTTTAATTATTATAAATTAAGTAAATTATTTATTCTTATAACGTACTAAGTTTTTGTTATTATAATTTACTTGTTATAAATTAATAGAATTATTCATGGTTTTGATATACAAAAGGCTGTCTTAATATTTTCAAAGTTATTTATTTAAGTTTATTCGTAAATATTAAATTACATTTGATATTTTTCATTTATTTATATTACTTCGTAATTACATTGACATATTAAATATAATTATAAAAAATCATTCAGATTTTTTATTAAGTTGATATGGATTTTCACCCAGATTTATATTGATTTATTAAATTTAAAATTATATTTAAATAATAAATATTTCTTCACCATATAAGTACGTAATCGCTCTACAATATTCCAATTTTTCTACAATAAACAAATTTATTAAATTCAATTTATTAAATTCAATCACAATAAACAATTTTTGTAATGTATATAATTGACTATAATTTAAAAACGATAAAAAAATATCATAAAAATATAACGTATTTAATTAAATATTTTTTATTAAGTTTTGACAACCCTGTGAACGATATTAAATTTGTATTCCATGTATTCGATGAACTTGTATTTAATAAACATTCATCTTTTATATTTCTCAATATTTTACATTTTATATCGAGACAACTAATCAGCTTAATTATTCCATACGTTCTTTCAAATAAAAATAATGTTTATTACAACTGGATAGGTAGGGATTTGAGGATTATTCAAAGTTGTTTTCAATTTGCAAAACTATTTATTGAATCTGCAGTTTGATTATATTTGTATGAAGTGATAGATATCTAAATAGATACAAAATGTTATTGATATTAAAATAATTATAACAATAATAACGGTAAATATAATAAATGTGAAACGTTCGAATTTTATGAGTGATATGCAACTATAAATATGCACATATTTTTCCGAAATTCATATGTGATCGCAAACCTCTGCTTAACGAAAATGAATATATATATATATATATATATATATATATATATTTATTTATTTATTTATTTATTTATAAATGAAATAACATCCCTCAAATAATAAGACATTTAATCGAGATGCACATAAACAAACAATATAAATTTTAATAAAATCGTATCAAGTTCCTTTTCAGGGCACAGCAGTTTTATGTAATTTATAAATGCTATCCAACATTAATGATATATTAATGATACATATGGTATATTAGTATTCCGATGCTTAATCTTATATAAAAATACACAATGAATTAATTTTATTAAAAAGTATACGTAAATTTCTCTTATACCAGATCTACGTACCCACATATATATATATATATGTATATATATATATATATATATATATATATATATATATATATAACAAAAGAATTATTAAAGAATAATTTATACTTTCAATGCGATACAAACGCTTTTATAACAGTGTTAAAATCTTTCATTGCACTTATCTTATATGACTGTATTTATGTGTAAAATGTAAATTATAATTAAATTAGACCAATGCCAATAAATTAGGAAAATTCAAATAAAGGAGATTTTCAAAAAAACATAATTCCCAACTAAAATTTAAAACGCTTGTATCCACGATCAAATTCAGAATTCTGAAGAGTAGCGTTCAAGTTTGGGGTTCCTACCTTAACGATTAAGAGGAAAATCTATTCTGAAGTGGAGAATATCTAGAAATACTAAGAACATTTATTGTTATAACGTTATCATGTTCCATAATAGCGAAATCTGTACCTTGCGATAAAAAGTTCTTTACCTAATTAATTCCTATACTATGTTATCTCTCTCAATCATCACACCGTATTAATTATACAAAATATGGTTTAGAAAATGGTAAAAGCACTCCTTATATTAGATTTTAGTCAAGATTTTTAAGGTGATTTTCCAGTACAAAAACATGCTTTTAATAATACTAACCCTGGATCTGGACTGTAACCACTTGGGAATTATAATGATAGGGGCTTGAAGCTTAATCATAGCGGTGATGAAGTGGAGTGATGAAAAGTGAAGTGATTGAAATCACAATCTTAAGAAGAGGTATGTATACCCGGCAAAAAGTGGAACTGACATTACATATAATTCATTATACATAATTTAAGCATTTATCTGAGTTTATGATATTTCTAGAGGCCGCTAATTATATTTTCCAATTGAACGTTGCATGGTAGTCATTTTTACTTTCAATATGATATATAAAACTTTTATAATATTAGTATTAAATTCTTCAATTACTCTACGTTGTATGACTATATACGTGTTTATTAAGTGTGCTCGATAATCTCAAACAGAATATTAGTGGAGAATGAAGAAAGTATATAAGGAAAGTAAGAATATTAAAAGGACTAGAATAGAAATAGAAATTAAAATAATAGAATTCAAGAATTACAAGAAATAAGCACGACTTTTTGACAAATAGAAAACTACTGAAAATCTAATATCAAAGTTACACAAAGTATTAATAAAAAGTTTTCTTGAGTAATGAGCAAAAAACTAAAAGATAATATACAACTTATCAAATCAAAAGAATACAAACAGCTAATATATCAAATAGAAAGAAAAAAAAAAGAATGAACAATTTAAAGGGTGAATCTACAGGTGTGAAAAAAAGAGAGAAAAAAGAAAAACGAATTACGATATGAAGCTCGGGTGAGAGATTTGGGTAGAATCGGTAGTCGACTTACAGAGAAATAGCAAAAATTATTATTATATTGAAAATTAATGATTTTTACAAAGTTATGGAAAGAAAATACAAGTATTGAAAGCAAATAAAAGTAGAATAATTATATTGGAAGTAAATAAAAATATAAAGTACAATTATTAAAAGACGATTAATTACAATAGGAGATAGCTAAATAAGCACTAAGAATAAAAAGAAATCATATAATAAGATTATTTAGAAATAGATAGTGAAAAAATATATGTAATACAGATGATAATAGAGATGCGCATTAATTTGGATATAGAAGTGACAAGAATAGATTGATACAAACACGTACATAGTTATAATGAACAATTGTAAATATTTTAAAATTCAAAAATATTTGATAATGTATTATATGATTATTATTAAAATAAAAAAAAAAAAAACAAAACAAAAAAAAACAAAAAAAAAAACAAAAAAAAAACATACTTCTGAATACCATAAATCCCAACTATAGCTGAACACCTTTTGTAGCAATTTATTATTAATTAACTATTACTTGATAAAAATTGAATCTAAGCTAAACATGACTTGATTTTCTTCCTAATGAGGCAGAAAAGCAACTCAATTGATGAAAGCTCGTGTGAGTGAACTTGTTTCAATTGCACCAGAGTTAAAGTCGTTATTACATAGCATTTTGCTCTACCATATTGACAAATTAACATTTATAATGATATTTCTTACATAAGACATATAAAAGAAATGCACGCAATTTTTCCATAATACGAGAAAATTGTAACTAAACAAAGAATTATTCTTTCCAACTTCGTTTCAGACAATAAGAAATTATTGCAACTTTTATATTATAAAATGACATAAGTAAATGCTTTAAAATATGAAAATCACAATAATTTAAAATTATTTTAAATTAAAAAATTATTTTTTATTTAGTTCTAATAAGAAAATATTGTTCTTGATAGCAATATTTCCAATCATGAGCAAATATCGTTTGATATTAATGTGTAAAAGTGCAAGTAGTAATTTATTTTCATTGCTTTTATGCATAGATCTAACATAGATTTAACTAATAATTGATATTTCATCGAAACTAAATCACTATTTACAATTACCACTTGATATTTTACCCATGGCATAGCAAACTTAATATTACTCACGAGAAAAAATGCACGTTTATTATCATTGACTTAACCGCCGTCGTTGTACATACACGTAAGATGTTCATCTTTGTTCTTAACGGACTATGCAAATCAATGCAAATTAATGCAAATCAATGCAAATCAATGCAAATACGGTGTTTACACCAATAACACACAATATAGCGCATATGTAATATACATGTATCATTTTATATATAATGCATACGAATGAAAGGACATCGTATCCGAATGCAATCTTGCTTTATAAACTATGTGCTCTCACATCGACGCTGTTTCTTTCTTTTTTTTTCTTTTTGTTTTTTTTTTTTTTTCATTCTTTCATTCTTTCTTTCAAAACTTTGTAATATATTTCCAAAGATTAATTCACTTTCGTTTAAAGAATGTTACGATTGAACACCTACCTAAATTAAAAAATGATCATTCTTAATCGAACTCTTATAATCTAAATTTTCCACATAATTCCATTTTTATAGTTTTTCTTTTCAGAATCATGAAATAAAATTTATTTTTATTTATAGTCAGTTGATGGTATTTTTGTATATTTAATGGAATTATTAAATACGATTCAAAATTTTTGTTAGCTTCTTAATTATGTTTTCTTTTCTTTCTTTCTTTTTTTTTTTCCTTTTTTTTTTTTTCTTTTTTAAATAATTTTATTCTTATCTCAAATCAAATAAATAAAATTTTCAAATGAAATTTGTATATACAAAATTTGTTTAGTATACTGAATACTTTAGTACAGAATACTCTCTATTGGTAGAAATCATTCAAAGTATATTTATGATTATTAAAAAGCTACGAAAACTATACAATTTGTTTAAAACCTAAAAGTTTTGTAATTAATGAAAGGCTTTTTTTAAATATTTGAACATGTGTATGAATATATATAATTTAACATCTCAAAATCAAGAGCAATGGTACAAGATTAAATATTATTTGCCACTTGATTCATTTTGTTTTTAATTGCAAAAAATACATATCATTTATATTATGTGCTAAAATACTATCACCAAATATTGCTAATTTTACACATAACTGAGTATATTGAATCAAATTAAGTTTTTAAATTTCTTAAACTGTTATTGTTCACTTGAACAATAACTATTATTTCTATGATTAGTTTTAATATTACTATCATTGTTATTATTACAAATACTATTCTATATAATTTCATATAAGATAATTTGATTCAACAGATTCATATACAAGTGACTATGAATTTTGATTTGATATTTTTCTTTTCTTATTAAAAACCATCGTTTAGTTCGTTAAACTTTAAAAATTTATAAAATGATGAAATTGTATAATAATTGAAATATCACTTTTAAACATTTTTTTTAACATCGCACTATTCGATTATTTATACTTAGTTTTCTTTAATATATATATATATATATATATATATATATACTGGCAGTGGAAAAACAGTATTGGAAATCAGCAAAATATTACATATAGTATATCGTAAATAAATTTGAATCAAAATTTAAGGACCATCTACGTTTATATATATTTTTTTAGAAGTTGAATAATAGAAATTATTATAATTAAGAATAAAAATAAGAAAACAATAAATAGATAATTATTGTTAAACAGATTCGTCAAACGCAGACCTTATTTATCGTAATTACGCAAAGTTTATAGAATATATTTATTGTAAAACTTATTTTAGTCTCAATTATGACAAGTCATATCTTTTTATCTCGAAAAATACTTGTAACATAAATCTACAAGAAAATAAAAATATATATTTAACTCTTTTTTCATAATTATTTGTAATTTGTGAAAATACGATGTTTGACTCGTTGCATTATCATAATGTCTACAATCAGCCAATAACAGTCTTAAACATAACGGCAAGATAGGCCAGTCGAAAGTAAAGTACATATTCTCAATATCAATAAACTTTGAACTTTTAACAAATTAAAGTGTTTGCAACAAATTATTTCTTATTTGAAATTAGCTTTATATGTTTAAATAGATTATTAAAATCAATCTATAAGACTTATAATTCATAAAAATTATACATATATTTGTTTGTACAGTTTAAAGAGTTGCAGTCAGTTTTCTTCTTCTTCTTCTTCTTTTTTGTTTTTTTTTTTTTTTTTCAATTGCACATCATTGTACCATATCTCAAATGCAGTCAAGTAATAATTTGAATAAATTTTGTTATACATGCACATATATATATTATACACACATATATACCATCTTTTTAACAATCAATACTGCTTCTATTCGCAATTGACTAAAACACTTTTGAAGCTTCACCACAATGTAGGATACTTTATCGAGAGTAAGCGTTTTATAATAAACTCTGTACAAATTTCACTAACAAATTGCTTTTAAAGCAACTTTGCATTCGGAATTCATCGCATTTCATCAAACTATTTATATATAATATATAACGTACAATAATACAACATTCTTAATCGTGTATGAGAATTACGAAATGCAAGCTCCGATTGTAATTCGAGCTTTTATTTCTTATACGTAATTGATCGCTTGACATCGATGCCATTTACTATAAAAGTAGAGAAATCCGTTTTCTAATTATACCATTCATAGGGTCAAAAGTTACGAGCAAATAATTTTTAACAATACAAAATAGCAAACATATCATAATTGTTATGTTTTTAGATTTATGAAATGTTAATTGTAAACGCAAAAAATTTTTAATTAAGAAGCTATCAACTACTAGCCAAATATATCACTTTATCACTTTTGATTTAAATTAGACCCTTTTTTAATAAAAATTTGTTTAAAAAATTGATCTTATATAATACAAATTTACATAATTTATTTTTATGAAAAAAGATTTCTCTAAAAAAATAATTATAAGATTATTTAATTTCGATCACAACATTCATATTTCTGTTAACTCACATTAATAACAAAAATAATTAAAAGCGTTATATATCCTACGTAAAAATAACGTTATATAAGTGAAATGAATTCATTTCATTAGCGTCTTGACAAAACGTATCCTAAATAACAATCAAATAAATTTCATTTCGCGTTTATTATTAATTTTTTCTTCTTTTCTTTTAAATAAGCTAATTATTAAAAAGTGAAAATCTTATTATATTCAATTCGTATTTTGATAGAACAAAAGTAGTTTTAGAAAAAAATTCACTTCATTGAATCAGTCGAGTAAAATTATTGAAATAAAATAATCGAGTGTACTCCTAATTTTTCCTTTCATTTGGAAAATTAAGAATGCATTTTGTCATACTCTGGATAATATATTTCATCGTAAAATATTCAAAACTTTTCAAAACAGAATGAATTACCTTTTGCTTTAAGTTAAGAGAAAAATATATTTTATTATAATTAATATCCAGTTAATATAAAACACATAGTTGTATTATTAAAATTGAAAGTAATGATATTTCATTACATAGACTATATGCTGCAATCAGATGAAATGCACGTGAACAAAACTTAACTAATCGTTAATGTAAATATACGTAATTTTAAAACTTTCATCCTTTCTTTTTTATAAAATACTGAATATTGAAAAATATATATTTCTCTACATCGAAAACAGTTTTTTACTACACTGATAACATTTGCCCTATTATAATGAACGGAAAAAGTATATGTTTAGTATTATAATAAAAATTTTCGAAATAATTATCCAGACTATGTCTGATGCCAGCAATAGATTAGATGTTAATCATTGGTTAATTTGGCAGGTTCGTTCACACTTTAAGGGTTGCTTTAGGCGACCAGTGATGGAAACGCGAGGGTCCCGTTGGATAGGAGGACGAATGAATCCACTTGCTCGCCCGATGTCCACTAATAAAAGGTGGAGGTGAAGGACCACCGAGAAAATGAGGCGGCATAATATTGTACCAAGGCTGATTCATTGGATGAGGACCATAACCCATAAATGAATGATTAAACCACGAACGATTTCGGTTCAAATGTAGCCTCGGACTGTTCAAGTTTCGTCGTTTATTAGAGATATTGTTACTGTTACTGTTGTTATTATTATTGCCGCTGCTACTACTATTAATGTTGATGCTGTTATTATTGTTATTTATGTTGCTAGTACTATTGTTGTTGTCGTTGTTGCTAATGTTATTGTTATTTGAATGTGTTTGAACTTGATTGGTTGAAATTATTGATTTTGATTTCTGAAGTAGATTTGTAGTAGTGGAAGTAGAAACAGATTTCTGAAAATGTAAAATTTATATTTGAAAATCATTAGAATCATGATTATAAAGTAATTGTTTTATTTATAATTCTTAATTGCTATATGCATTCAATAAATCTATTATTTGTAAAAAAAATTCGTAGAAATGTATCAAATACCATAAAAATCATAAATTATACAAAGCAATTGTAATGTATTTGTTTTGTATTTATACTTATTTCATGAAAAGTAAAATATTTTTGCGTGCATATTATTTAAAAATAAATTAAAAATCAGAAAAATGTACTAAAAATAATTAAGAATTTTAGGGCAAGTATAGTTCACTAAAAATTATAGTTATTTTGATTATATTAACATTAATTATTCAAAAAATTTGGTTAATCAATTTTTTTCTTTAAATAAAAGCTTATATTGAAATAAAAATAAAAAAAAATCTGTTAAATATTATTTCATAATTTTTAAGCCACCAGCTGCATATATATATATTTAACTTTTATATAAAAATAGTTTTGTAATATTTTTATTGATATTAATAACTATTATTAGATTCTAGATTTAATGAGATCTGTTTGGATTTCATATTTCTAAACATTTCAAATAAAAACTTGATGTTAAATTTAATATATATTTCTATTTTATAGAATTGCGTACTTTTAATAACGATTGTATTATATAATTAATAACTACTAAATTATGAACTAATATTTTACGTAATATTTTTAAATATAATTGTACATTCGTTATAAACCGATTGTTAGAAGATATTCTAAATACTGGAACTCGAGTAAGTTATTTAAGCGTTAAAGTATTCTATATTAGTTTTCATTATTTTCATTAGAATTTCTAATATTTTAGTTGAAATATATATTATTATGAATTATATATATAATACAAATTACCTCATCATTCATCTGTTTCTCTTCTTTTTTAGCATTTTCAATATGCTGTGTTATAAGAGGTACTATATGTTCTTTATCATCAAACGAAGCCAATGTACAATATGAGCCTTTACTCTCTCCAAATCTGCAACAAACCTCTTTAGGATCAACCCACAATGTTAGCTCAACTGGCAAAGACAAATCTTCATATTTAACACCTGCAGCATTCGCAGCACTTTCTATTGTAGCATCTCTTCGATTATGTCCATTAACACGTATACAACGATATCCTTGACCTGTAAGCAAAAAGGATACAATTAAAAGTGATATAATGTTTCTAATATAGTTTGTCATTTTATTTGTACAATTAATTTTTTGAAATTTATATTACTTTGAAATTTCAAATTACATTTATCAAAAGTTAATGTAAATACCAATGTTAAATTATATATACTTTATTATATAATAATCCGTAGATGAGAATCTAAAGTCTGATATTCAATTGTAAATACATTCGATTAAATTGGAGAAAGTTAATATGACTCTTTTATAGAATAAAAATTGATATCCTCTTAAGTTTGAAATTAATAAAATTACCCTTAAAAGGTTTGTCTGGAAACCAATGGTTCTTGAAACGTTCCATCAATAGTTCTACTAGTCGTCGTTGGAAGCAATCTAACTGATCAGGACTAAATTTTTCGCTTTTTTCTATCAGCTGTACTAAGAACAGCACCGCTGCTGTAATCTCGTTGCGCATGTTGTACGTGTTTTCTGACAAGCTTATACTTCAATAAATTATTGGGATCGATGTACTCTAATGCAATTCTCTTTACAATAATTTTATCTTCGAGCCAAATCGATTTGGAGCACATAGAGCTTTCAAACACCTGAATAGCTTTTCTCGAGTGTATTAAATAATGTAATACTAATAAATATCAAATGCTATATTACAAGTTCCAATATTGTTGTTGATGATGAAATAAAATCTTATAATTATAATTTTTCAGAAGTGATGAAATAATCTGTAAAAAAAATTCTTATTAGCATAATGTAATATTTATTACATTGTAAAAATTAATTTAATATTAGCCAAATAATTCTAAAATTCAATTTTTCTTCATTCGAATACTTAATACATTAATTATATAATAAATTACCAATTATTAATGAATATTAAAACCTAAACTGCAATTGTATGAAAAATTTATATTTTTCTACAGCTCGTAGTATATATTTAATTACAATTATTATGCTTGTCTGATGTTTTGAAATAATATAGTTATTAAATAATAAGTTATTAAATATTATAATAATATACATATGGAAATATACAATTTTTGCCAAATATATGTGTATACATATATATATATATGTATTTATTTTTTTTTTAACTTGATCTAAATAATTTTAATGAAGTCTTAAATTTTATTGAATTATCATTAATTTCAAGCATTATAGGCATAAAAAAAAACAAAACATTAATTAATTTCTAAATTGTAAATTGTATAAATAAAAAATTCTAAATTGTAATAATAATTAATTTAATTAATACTGATTAATACATTTACAAATTTACAAAAATAATTTCTAAATTATCTAATACTAATTATGTACATTAATGGATTAATGTAAATTGTAAAATGATAAATGATAAAATGTAAAAAAAAAAAATCCCATAAATTATATTACTTTTCAAACAGCTGTTTGAAAATAAGACAAAAATAGGAAGAAACATCTTGTGACAATTTTAATACATTTAAAAATTTAAAGGTTTTCTGCAATCAAAATAACTTATCAATTCTAATCACATTCGTGTTGTAACATCTCGGCATTAACTTGTTATCATAATATTTGTTTTAAGAATTTAATTTAATTTTTTAAGATGAAAGATAAATTATAAAAAATTATATAAAAATTTGTAATAATCAAATAGTCAAAAAAAGAAAAAGTTTTTCCAATATTCACTACTGCTAATTACATTAAATTAAACTTATTGTTATTATTAAAGAATTAAGAAATAAATAAAAAATTTTATAATCTTTACACGAATTTAAATATAAAATGTTAAAATAACGAATACAGTCCATATAATTTTTTATATATATATATATATATATGGTAATATTATACCCTATCTATACTACGTTTCTTCAATCAACCAATAAACTCACAACAATATAAAAACAGCCGAAAACACGAAATTCTAACAAAACTACAGCGACTATAGGTCCCAATATGTTTAGTAAGTAGTTGCAAACTGCCAATAAATTCGGCCTGCGCCTTATGCCCAGATACTGTCCCTAAAATATACATGCCCCATATACTTCTAAATCACGAAATATCAATAAACGCGAAAACCATTGCTAACAATATGTTGATTTTCTTTAATGAGGTTATAGAGTGAGGGAAAAAGAGAGGATAGGTACGTGGGCGAGTGGAACGACGGGTAAGGGGAGAAGGAGTTGGTGGTGGTGGTGGTGGTGGTGGCGGCGGCGGTGGCGGTGGCGGTGGCGCTGGTGGGAGGTGGGAATAAGGGACCTTTAGTTGGGTAAGCAGTCAGTTACTATTCCGGATGCGGGACATTTCACACTCCCCTGTCTCCGCTGCGATTAATGCAAACGTCCAATTCGTGCGAGCGTTCACGATTATCGAGGGTACGCGGCGGGGTCATAGGATCGATCGACTTTCCACTTGCGATGGCGCACCCACAAATCGCTAAGATAAAAGGGTACTACTAGTTCAAACACATAACACGTACGTGTGCGCAAAAGTGACGAGCGGCGCGCATGTGTGGTGCATCCTGCCGGAAACGGATACGTGGCGCCACGCTTGGCTAAAGCACACCCTGTGACGGATCGACTATTACGGATGGGTGGGTATGCACGTGTGCGCCTGTGTAGGCATGTTCGGCTTGCCGTCTCCTGAATTATGCAATTGGTCGTGGGTTGATGCACCAGCTTATTTTCCGTGCCTCTTTATATTTTTAAATGCCCGAGAATCTACTGGTTTTATTTTTACTCGTTGACCATCCGGATGAAGCTTTGGTTGCAATCGGTATTTCTTTATTGCACGATGCATTGGTATCCGAGTGATATTGTAATAAATACTCTTCCTTTGTCGATATAAATTGCTCTTACATTGGAGATTACGAATATTGTCTATAATTCCCTTGGATTTTATTACTGCAACTTGAATTATATGTTTGAATTCTTAAGATCGTCGTCGTCGTCGTCATCGTCGTCGTCGTCGTCGTGGTTGATGTTATTTTTTTTTTTTGTTTTTTTTTTTTTGTTTAAATTCTTATCCTTATAAAGCAGACAATCTGAAAAAATAACATTTGTACTCGTAACAATTCTATATTTTGATTACGAACTTCTATCGGATTAGTGTTGGTTTTTTCTGGGAACAAATATGCCATTAATCCGAATGTTACGTAATTAATTGCTAACTCAATTATTATTAACTGACTGTTGGATTGCATAAAAAGGTATTTTATAATGTAACACAATGGTTTTAAGATATTCAAATTGTATATTGGTAGAGGTATTTCGCTCTTTTGTATGCAGGTTAAGCGAAGTGCTTTAATTTTTTCATGTGTAAAATAACGTAATGAACACATAATAAATTAAAAATGCTCTAAACGTAATTTTGCCTTCATTTCGTAAACAAAACAATATCGGTAAATTAATTTTTAGGGCATTCGGTATGATACTTTTGCATAATTATACGTGTTAATAATCGATTTGAAGTGCATAAGTATATGGTACAATACACTTTTGAAAGGTGTTTGTTTGAAATATAATAAGATTAACGCGATTCTTATAGATTTTTATTAGAAGTTTTAAGGGGAGAAAAGTGTTTCTAATTGTCTTGTATTGTGTTTGTAAAAAGTGTTTCGAAATCGTCCCATTTATTGAAAATTTATTGAAAATTTATAATAAATTAGAAAGCTGTTGGGACTCTTAAGATTTCTCGTACCTTCCGCTAAATTTACATGAAATACAGATTTGTTTTGTATTTTTTTTTTTTTTTTTTTTTATTTTGTTTCGTTTTTTTAATAATGATGCATATAATTTTGAGTATCAGCCGATCTGAAAAAAATAGCCGGACATTCTAATAAATGCAGGCAATTTAGCATGAAAAAGCCCATAATGAATCGGTGCGGCGCAGTAACAAAATCCGAAAGCGAGGAAGTAAGGTGCGAGTCAAGTGACGACAAATGTGCCGTTTACGCAACGTAATTATTAGATTGTCAATCCCAAGTGGCGCAAAAATTGCCACCGGCCGACTGATTCCGCGCACCAAATAAATAAAGGCTCAAGCCAAGCAACCGAGAGTAAGCTCCAGTTCCCCAACCACCTCCCGCCGAATAAGCCAGACTAAGCAATAATGAATAGACCCGGATCGAGGGAGTGAGTACCGATCGTCGTGCGCTGGTAATGTACTCCCGAGTGGAAAGGTATTCAGCGCAGCGCGTATCCGCGAGAGATGCCGATGAGTACGAAGCATTTAACGAGCTTGGCACGTGCGGCACGTGTGCGACGACGCCGCGTTCTCCTTCGAATTAATGCAGCCCGGATGGGAACCTTGGGCTTCTTGGCAATACATTAAAAGACGTACGCGAAGCTGTCGCCGTCTGGCAATGGGCTCGGTCCTCTCCTACGAGGGACTCGCGATTTGCATTTTAGATTAGATAGATAGAGATTTACGGTACGCATGTGGATCGCGTTTAGCAAAGTCGCGAGCCAGGAATGGCCGATTAAGCGGCCGTTTTATTTCAATTCGGGAAGCCCCGAGTATGCTTAATGGCATTATGTTATTGTTGGGCCGATCTGGTCACGCGACTGTCAGCTAAATGATCAGCCCTATTCGTTGACTAGTTGGCAGAGAGATAGATAGATAGAGAGAGAGATAGAGAGAGAGAGAGAGATAGATAGATAGATAGATAGAGAGAGAGACCTTCTGTCAGGACTCCTTTTATCACAATTAAGCTTTCCCTCCATGCCTCGACTAACATTCCGGCTCTCGATATAATATTCTATGGCGTCTTAAATTGCTCCACAACGATGATAAATTATATAATGAAATAATATTCATCCTACTCTCGTATTAAGGGAAAGTACAAAAAGTCCCACTTGATATTCATAAAACACGCCGCGAAAGTCCATCTGCATATATTTAAAGTAGATGAATAACCGAGTGGTCAAACAACTCCGTCTACTCCTATATTACGTACTTTCTCATTGTGTTGCATGAACTTCAATTATATTTTTCTTTTTCTCCTCCCGTGGATGTGCGCCCCAGTGCTCGTAAGCACACTTATCAAACTATATAATTTCATTCGTGAATATTTTAAGCGCTACGAGCGAGCGATGTCCCGATCGAATCTATCTTACTTTCTGACAAACTCCGTAACCGAGTCCTCGCGCCACCTTGTCCCTTGGAAGTGCTGCCGCTGATAGCGGCGTTGACGCGTAATCCTTAGCGTCGCAAAAACAAAGGATAAATTACGATTTACAGGATCGAATAAAGTACGAGCAGCGCGAGAAAATCCATGGCTATAACCAGCGGCGATATAGCGGGCATGCGATTTCATATAAAAAAGGCGAGGGCCGAGCGCCGAGCTGTTTTAGGGCTCATTGTCCTCGTCGTCACCTTCACCTTCCGGCATTAAAAACCCTCGCCACAGTGGTCGACACATGGAGAGCGCGGCACAATGCGCGTGGCTCGTGCAAACTTAAAGAAAACACGATTTTCCAGCTCGTATGAATAATCTCGGCGGGGCAGGCTGTTAAAGGTGTAATTAAGTCGCGCTCGTCGTCCTTACGCGAGATGCCGAGGGTCGAGTAAGTCGGGAGGGACAAAGGAGCAGCAGCGTCGGCGCAGCAACAGTAGCAACAGACAGCATCGCTCGGCACAGACTCACGGGACGACGAATGCACCGTCATATTCGCTTTACGGACGGAGGCGCACGCACGCCCTCGTATATGACCAATTATGCGGGCGCTATTG